ATTGGCAGTATGTTGCCAAGTATTATGGCATCCCAGTACAGGGATGCAATAACCATTTAACTGTGCACTCCAGTATAGGGGGCACCAAACCAGACAATGTGAGTGTGATATGTATGATGACATATTATTGCCTCACTTTTTTGTTTTTGCATCACCATCACTGGTTGCGCCAGGTCATTGACCCCCTGGTCTGTGATTACACCCAGGGAGGGACATTGTCCAGTATTGTAAAAATTTAAGTAGAGGTGATTTTAGATGTTCAAGTATGCAGCAGAAAGTACAAGACAACTTCAAGGCTGAGCGAGAGGATGCAGATATATTTTTCCATCTGAACAGATTCTAATTGCTAATGTGCAAGATTCATCGCAGTGGCAACAGTCTGTATCTGAATGGGGCCCGCAAGCTTTTTCCGTAGAGCGTAATCAGCCGTTTTTAATTCTACGTAGAGCGTAGACGGACCGCTCTAATATTTTTGCGTAGAGCATATTCGGCGTTTTAATTCTACGTAATGCGTTGTGGCCACTTGGAATTTATCGTAAAGCGTAATCGAGAGGTTCCGAATTCATCGCAGAGCGTTGTCGGGATCCCCCCCTGCAGGATCCCCCCCTCCTGTATCTGTATAGCCGGTATAACTGCCTTTCAGCGTAACACACCAGCTTCGCAGGCACGCGGCGCGGCGGCAGCTGACTACTAGTATATTACACCGATCGACTTGTTACACCTAACCCTTGAACTTCTAGGTCTAGACTTTGTTTAAAGCTATCTCTATCTTTAAAGCTAAGTCTAGTGATACACTGAATGCCTCTCAGCAGTGGTGACTGAAAATGACCTCAAATTGTAAAAAAATTGTGAATTTCTTACAATAAATTGGCACAAAATGGCAGCAAACCCACAGACTGCTGTAAATTGTACTGAGGCTGATATTGTTCATTTGCTTGTAATAACCACAACTTATTCTTTTCAGTCAAGATGTCTCAGGTCCTGTACTATCATAATGTTCATTTGATATCTGAGAGTTTCTGCAGAACAAAATGTTCTGTAGCTGTGTTTGTATTTAATACAATTGATTGTACACTTCTGTTTGGCCATTCATTTAATCCATGATTTTAATAGATTGATACAAAAGACTTTCTTACAATTCTCTCTAGGGCACTGTGTGCAGCTTTGGATTCGAACCATCAACCTAAGTAGACTAATCCAAAATGCCTTCCTTGTAATTCTCACAGACTGTGTGCAGCTTCTCTGGATTCAAACCTGATCAACCTCTAGCTAAGAATGATCCAAAATGCTTAATTCCTTACAATTCTGACTTAGACTGTGTGCAGCTTTGGATTCGAACAATCAACCTCTAGTAGAATGATCCTTATATTTCAATTCTCACTCAGGGCACTGTGTGCAACACTACGGATTCAGACCATCAACCTCTAGTAGACTGATTAACAAATGCTTTCCTCACTATTCTGATTTAGGGCACTGTGTGCAGCTTCTTTAGATTTGAACCATCAACCTTATTAGTAAGTAGAATGATCTTAATGCTTTCCTTACAATCCTGACTTTGGGCACTGTGCGCATTTTCTTCGGATTCAAACCATCAATGATGGTAACCTCTAGTAAAATGATCAAAAATGCTTTCTTGACAATTCTGACTTACGTAGGGCATTGCATGCAGCTTATCTTTGGATGCAGACCATCATCCTCTAGTAGAATTCATAATCCAAAATGCTTTCCTTACAGTTCTCACATAGGGCAATCACAGTGTGCAGATTCTGTGGATTCAAACCATCAACCTCTAGTAGAAAGATATCCAAAATGCTTTCCTAATACCATTCTGACGTAGGGCTCTGTTTGCAGCTTCTTTGGATTCAAGCCATCAACCTCTAGAATTTATAATCCAAAATGCCTGATTGTTCTGTTTTTCAGCTTTTGAAGCAACAATCTTGTGAAAACTTAGTTAAGATAAAGTGCAAGTAATTTGTGCAGTCTGTGGGTTCAGGACACTTCAGGTTTTCCACATATTCTATTTCCTTACCCCCACCCCCTTACTAGCCAGCTACCAGGACAGTGATGCAAGTATCAGGAATGGTTGGTATGGGTATGGAGCACAGGGCTGGACATGGTACTTTGTATTTCTTGATATGCTTAAAAATGCCTTTTCTTGGTAAGGATCACTAAGGATTTTAATACGTTGACTTAAGCTTTATGACAATTTTTACATCTCTTGTAAAGGGTAGTCAAGCGCAATGTTTTCTAGCAATTTATTCTCGTACTATTTTAATGTAGATCAAATCGTTTTCGTGTCTCATTAGTTGCCCTTAAGTACAGGGGAGGCCAGTCTAGATCAGTGTAGTGTTTATAGTACCAGTGGTTTATGTTTTTGTACCATGTCCAGTTACCTTGTGCAACATGGTAAGTAAAACCGAAGACTGTGGCAGCAAGACAGGTGGTCCCAGGACAGGTGAAACAGGTGGTCCCAGGACAGGTGTCTCAGACTACAAGGTGGCTTGATGGAGGGCGGAGGTCATCAGCAGTCATCAAGGTCAGGGTTCGAATCTGAACCCCTTGGCCTGTGTGTCTGTGTCATTCATTGATTAGTTAGATTTAGAAATAGGCAGGGCCAAAAAAGGACAATTCCATTACATACATGTAGCATAGGAGGAAAGTTGGCATCAAACTTTCTTGAAACATGGATTAAAAAGTTCTAAACTGATTTGAAAAATTCCCCCCGACCCCAAATATTGCCTTAAAACTTAATTTTATACACAAGTTCTAACCAGAAAATTGCACCTCCCTACCAAATATTGCCTTAAACCTGTTTCTTGAAACTTTGATAAAAGGTTCAAAGCTGATTTTTTAAAAAATTCCCCCAAATCTTGCCTTAAAACACCTGCTCCTTTTAGAGTCCTTTATCATTAATAATAAGTGTCAACCAAATATTGCCTTAAACCTGTATCTTAAACCTTAAAAAAACTTCCCCACCCCAAATATTGCCTTAACCTTAGACTCCTTTCCCTGATAAGTTCTTAGCAAAAAATTGCCCCTCCCATCCAAGTATTGCCTCATACCTCCAGTTTATGGAGACACTTAGGAAGAAAAGTCATAATCAAATAATTCCCCCGTAAACATCACCTTGTATCTTCCATATCTCGACTCTTAAGGGTTCTAAGAAATGTTGCCCCCTTAAATATCGCCTTAAAACTTTCGTATCTTAACTGTGATAACCCTCCTTAATTATTGCCTTAACACTTCCATATCTTGACTATGATAGCTTCTAAGTAGATATTTTCCCCTTAAATATCGCCTTAAAACTCCGTGTCTAGACTGATAATTTCCCAGAAGTCCCCCCTTAAATGTCGCCTTAAATTAAAACCTTTTCCCGACTATGATAGGTTCTAACCAGATAATTCCCCCCTTAAATATTGCCTTAAAATTTCTTTTCCTTGAAACGCTGATAGAGATGCTCTGAGCAGATAATAGCAAACTCCCTTATATGGGCTTCGAACCACTGTTCCTTGAAACTCTTCTTTTAAAAGGTCTAAACAGATAATGGCCCCAAACATTAAAGTCTTGAATCCTTAATACTTTTCTTTCAATGCTCTAAAATAAATGTCCCTCTGCCAAATATTGCCTGTAAACACCTGAGACTTCCTGATGGTAAAGATAACCCCATACCCATAAACATTG